TTCTTAAAAAAATAAAAATAAGTAAATAAAAGTGTGCCACTCCCTCGGACTCACTACTGAGTGGGGGGCTCGCCACTCACTCCCCGTCCCGCCCAGGCCCCAGCCCCCCTTCTCCCCCGGCCCAGGGAGCAGGATCCGGTCCAGCAGGCAGATCTGCCACTGTCGCTGGGTACAGGATCCAGTTGTTCTTGGTCGCAGCCAAGGAAGAATTAGTCCAGAGAACCCAGGGCCGCTGTGGGAACTTACGGAGAAGCCTCGCCTCTCAAAACCTCGCTTCTCCCTGTGAACGATTAGCTGGTAACACACAATTCAAGAATCTGGTGCAGAAGATGTGTTCAGGGAAGGAAAGAGGGAGACAGACGTAAAGCAGAGAAGGCCGTTTGTCTCGCTGCCCAGAGCTCCCGGCAGCAGGCAGGCGCCCTGGCTCTCCGGAGCCGGAGGCGGGCAGGTGTGACCCTCCGCGCGGCTGGCTGGGTGGGAGGCGTCCCGCGAGGCTAACAGACAATGGGCTTTGTTGTCAGCAGACCTGACTGAAGCCGGGCTCACCGCAGGCTCCCTGTGTAAACAGGACGAAGTGTCCACTTCTCCAACTCCAAAACCAGCTAAACGATGACCATCTTGAAAATTTAGCGGGAGTGTTAGGAGCATCGAACGTGATGTTTGCCGAAAGCAAAAGCAAAGCAGGCTCCCTGGTGCCTCCCCACCACGCTCTGGGGAAGGCTCCCCCGCCCCAGCGAGGGCCTGTCGCCCTCGTCCTTCTCCACCACCCCCTGTAGGTCTCCTCCGTTACCCTCTCAACCCCGTCACCGTTCCCAATCATCCTCGGATCTCCCCGGCAGGTGCCTACGCCAGGGTCAGGGGTCCAGGCCCCACGTGCAGCAGGCTGGCTGAGAGGGCCAGCACTGGCCAGGGAACCCCGCATACCAGTGCCCTGGCTCATCCCGCCGAGCCCACGTGCCTGCCCTTCCCAGCGGACGCCCAAAAGCTTTGCAGAACCTCTGAGCCAATCAGCCCCCCGCATCGCCTCCGGAGCCCCCAGCCAGCCCCTGCAGGGTCCCCTGTGGAGCCAGAGGAAGGTCCGCAGAGGGGAAGGCTCCAGGGGGAACCAGGCTGGCTCAAGTCTCAAGGAGAGAGTGACCCTGAGGCTCTGAGACATTCCAGTTGTCTAAACCCCAGACCCTCTCCCTAGCAGCACAGACAACCCACTTCCTCTCTCAGCCCACCACGCTGCCTCCAGGCGGGACCGGTAAGATATGCCCAACAGTGTGGCTGTGAAGGAGAAGCAGCACCGTGCAGGCAAAGGCAGCGCCCGGCACACGGCCACGTGCAGCATCTGTGATGGATGCTGCCAACGTGACCGAGGAGGCGGGAGAAGTGAGGGTCCCCCGTTCCATGCTGCTCTAAGCAGGAGCCAGGGAGCCCTGGAGACCTAGCCTCTTTATGCCACGGATTCTCAGAGTAAGTGTCGTCTATAAAACTAGAGATCCGGTGGTGGGGTCCCTCAGCCTGGCCTGCAGGGATGGGGCTGTAATGGGCTCTCCGACATTCCCCCAGGGGTCCCAGGGAGGGACCACAGGAGGGCTCCAGGCATGTCCAGGCAGTCTCTCACCCAGCCCCAATCGATCGGCCGGACCCTGGCAGCAAGCTAACCTATCGGTCGAAGCGTCTGCCCCGTGATGGTCAGTGCATATCATAACCACTGGTCAAAAGGTCAAAGAACGGTCGGACATTGAGCATATTAGCCTTTTGCAATATAATGCTTAGCACAATGCCTGGCCCATAGGAGACCGCCCCTGAGTACTGCTGCTGTCAAATGAATGAATGAGTGAGTGAACGAAGAATGAATGAATGATCGTGCTTCTAAGGAACCTCTGTCAGCAGAGCATTTGGTCCCAAGCCACTGTTATGCTGTGGGGACTGTCAGTGTAAGAGCATTCAAACCTGTTCAGACTTTGTGAGTTTATTTGAGCCACACTGTCGACAACTGCCAGGAAGCAGAATCTCAACGTGTACTGAGACAATGCTCCGGAGAATGGCAGTTTTTCACCTCGTTTTATAAAACATTACAATCAAAGGAGCCATCAGTGGGCTACATGAACTCCATTGGTGATAGATTAGGGAGGCAGGAAAAAGCAAAGTGGGGAAACCTCTGGGATTGGATAAAAAGTAAAATGATAGGCACGTACTTATTTTTTCTTAAGTGGGTGCAGGACAGTTGACAGTCAACAATTAACAGCCCTGGCTCAGTGGATAGAGCATCAGCCTGTGGACGGAAGGGTTCTGGGTTGATTCTGGTCAAGGGTACATGCCTGGGTTGCAGGTTCAATCCCCACTGGGCGCTATGCAGGAGGCAGCCAATCAATGATTCTCTCTATTCATTGATGTTTCTAGCTCTCTCTCCCTCTCCCTTTCTGAAATCAATAAAAATGTTTTTAAAAACAACAACGATTAACAGATAACAATAACAATGAGGCAATCTGTGTTCTGCTCCTGGCCCCCATTTGTTGTGGCCTTCGGGGACCAGAGAAAGGGAAGTTACAACTTACGCTGACATTCCAAAGGTGTGTTATCTTAGATGCAAAGAGACAATGGGCTCAGTAAAGATCGAAGTTGATCTTAGTCAAGGAAGACACTGGCCTAAGACCTGACTACCCACCATAAACTGCTTTTTAACTAAAAAGTTTCATTTCAGACCGCCCTTTGAGGTGACTTTAGGTCTCTGAGTTTGCAAGTCCGCCATGCAGGCCTCCCCTGAGCTTGTCAGGTCAGCACGTGGCCCCTTTCTGTCCACAAGACCCTTCTTAAAGGCGTTTCCAGTGCCAGCCTCCACACAGCCGTGAGCCCGCAGCCCCTCTCAAAGCGGGCACCGCCCCACTGCATCCTGGGAGCTCACCAAGGTACCGGATTCCTCCCCTAGATCCTCTCCCTCTCCCTGCCTCAGTCCCCCGCCGCAGGGCAGGGGAAATGGGCCCGCAATCAAGACGGGTGAGTGGTGCAAGACAAAGAGGTAAACGCTGGTCTCCGAAAAGGCTAGGCCACCAAGTAATGTAGATAGAGCACAGCCTTGAGCCTGAGGTCAGCATGCAAATAACCAGCACATCCACCTCAGCCCTCTACACCTCCAGCCTCCTCCCTGGGTGTGCTTCCGGAAGGCTCCACCTAAGCTAGACCTCCAGATAAGGCCTGGGGCTCCCAGAGGGTCGGACCATAAACAACATCCTTGAACATTGAACTCCACAGCCTGAGCAGACAATGGAGGAGCAAGGTGACCGGCAGCCCCCGGGGCTGGACCTGGGTTCGCTGGCCTCACCTTCGGACACCCCACTCAGGTCTGCTGCTCCCCCCGCACACCCCTCCCCTCTGCAGGGGTTCTGCGTGGCCGCCCCCGCCTGTGGAGGCCTAATCGCCAGCATCTCCCCCAGACAAGCTCGCTCATCGGAAACCGGCGCAGCTGCTGGGGCTCAAGCAGCCTTCATTCTTCAGGCGAACAAAGTGTTCCGTTCTTTTGCTCGGCAAATGCCGCGTTTCCTCTCCCATTATCTGCCCCATCGACAGCCAAGCCGGCCGCAAAAGCAAGATCTCTCCTTTTTGTTATTTTCATGGTCCCCTTTATTTATGGGTTATGTTTTTTGTGTGTTTTTTTTTCTCTTGGCTTTGACTCCTCTCCAAAAGGGCAGGGACGCAAGGGGAGGAGAGCAGGGCCGATTCCATCCAAACGCTCAGCACACAACCCCCAAAGCAGCCAGCTGCACCCCAGTCTGCCTGGGGCCCGACCTTCCAGCGCCAACACCCCAAACTGAGGCTGGAGCACCCTAAGCAAGAAAAGAGCCAGCGCTGGCCCAGGGGTGGGGTGAGGGGGATTCTGGGGAGGGGATTGTAACCTCCGGAGCCCACGGTGCTAATAATAAAAATAAGATAATAACGGCACCCTCAACGTATTTCACACGTGAGTAATGGACGCTGATCCAGTAGATGGGACTCTTGGGACGATCAGATGAGTGGGCAGATGCCAGCTGCCAACAAACGGGTCCCTCTGGTGTGTAGCAGCTGAAGACCCACCCTCTGGGTCAGAGCGAATGTTTACTAAGCATTTACTTGGCACCCAGCACTGCTAGAACCACTCTGACTAGCATTCATGTGTTTAATTTTTACAATAATCGCTGAGGTAGATGGTATTGGAATCTCTAGCCCAAGTAGCCTGGTGTCAGAGTCTAGCGCTCAACCAGCCCACAGGAATGTGCGCACGCCAAGCTAAGTGCCACCTGGAGGAATTGGTTCTCTTAATGCTTTCAGCAGCCCTGAGATGCAGTCACCATCAGCATCGGTTTACCTATGACAGTGGTGGGCGAACCGCAGCTCGCGAGCCACATGCGGCTCTTTGGCTCCTTGAATGTGGCTCTTCCACAAAATGGCCACGGCCTGGGCGAGTCTATTTTGAAGAAGTGGTGTTAGAAGTTTGAGTTTGAAAAAATGTGGCTCTCCAAAGAAATGTCAGTCGTCGTACTGTTGATATTTGGCTCTGTGGACTAATGAGTTTGACGACCACTGGCCTATGAGGACACAGAGGCTTCAGGAGGCTTAGCAATCGCCCGAGGTCTTAACCAGTGAGTGGCGACCTGAACCAAGAGACTGGCTGCTGTTGAGTCCCTTCTTCTTCTTCTTTTTTTTTTTTTTTTTTTTTTTTAATATACAGTATTTTTATTGATTTCAGAGAGGAAGGGAGAGGGAGAGATAGAAACATCAGAGATGAGAGAGAATCGTTGATTGACTGCCTCCTGCACGCCCTACCCTGGGGATGGAGCCCACAAACCGGGCATGTGTTCTTGGCCGGAATCGAACCCAGGACCCTTCAGTCCACAGGCCGACGCTGTCCTCATCGAGCCAAACTGGCTAGGGTGAGTCCCTTCCCTTCTTTTAAGCACTGGACTAGTCTGGCTTCTCTGTCTCAAGAGCCATGGACAGTCATTCTGGAGCCTGGATTGCCTCCCCCAACCCCCGATCTCTGCCGGGCCTCTGCATGGGCTCAAGGGACCCAGGCAGGTCCCGAGTTCAGTTGATGTGAGAAAAGTCAAAGGCCACCTTGGGGCCCCAAAAGCCCTGGTCTCACAGGCTGCAGGCCTCCCTCCTGCCAGCCACACCAGGAGACACGCTCAAAGCTGGGAGGGGCCAAAGTGCACCACTTGCCCTCCCCACGCAGAGACAAAGGGACTCGAAGCCAGGGCCCAGCCGTGGCATCTCCCAGGCGCATGGCTCCGGAGGTCACAGGGCTGCCCCACCCTTGACCTCCCCCAGGTATGTATGACTTCTGTGTTTCCTGGGCATCCCTGTGCCACCTGTCCCCACCCCACCCCCGCAGCTCCCTCCCTCAGCTTCTCATTCACGCCTGGCTCTCAACGGCACTGGGCAGCTACGCCCTCCACAGACCCTGCGACACACAGGCCTCATGAATGGCGGCCGTCATTCTTGTTTTCTTACCAGACTTTTCTAAATATAAAAGGAACGTGTGCTCATTGTAGAAAACCTGCAAGATTTATAACATAAAGAATAGAAAAATTAACGAGCCACCCACTTCCCATCAGCCCGGAAGAGGCTGCTGATAACAGTGTGGCTGGTCTCCAGACCTTTCTTCCACAAGTGGCTTTCTTTTTCCCCACTGAGCGCTTAAGCGAGTTTTTATATCCCTCCCCCCACCCCACCCCACCCCACACACACACTTAACAGAACATAGAAGGGGAGTTTTCGTGCCACTAAAAATGGGAAATTACAAAACACTCTTTGCAAAGCCACGGGTAACGGCTGCTACAGCGCACTGGACTTCACCAGTGCCCACGGTCGAAGTGGTCAACTCATGAAGCCCGTGTTACTGACTCCTCCTCCTCCTCCTCCTCCTCCTCTGCCGCCACCTCCCGTCGTCACAGCCATTCTGCCCAGTGACAGACGGGAAGGGAAGGGCCTGAGAGTGAGCAGAGAGAGCGAGGCAGCAGAAGGACCCCCCCCCCATCCCCGCCCTGCTTCCTGCGGACGGGTGGGGAGTACGCAGAGTGGAGTATGGAGGCCATGAGGGGGCCCGGAAGCCGGGGTCCAGGTCTAGCTGCCTCTGCAACGGGGAGGGCCCGTCTCAGCGTGTCTTGGGGCCTCGACTTAACCTTAAAAAGATGGAGAACCACAGGGAGGTACTGCTTGACACCCACAACCATGACAAAACTAAATCCAAGAAGTCTTGGCAAAGATGTGGACAATTGCTAGGAGGCGTGTAAAGTGGTACAGTCACCATGGACGACAATATGGCAGCCCCTCAAAAAGTTAAACACAGAAGGACCGTAAGACCCAGCGGTTCCACTTCTGGGTGCGAACCCCAAAGAACGGAAAGCGGGAGTCCTGAAGAGAGACCTGCACACTGACGCTCATGCACAACAGCCAACACGCAGCAACAACCAGCACGTCCAGGGAGGGATGAACGGAGACACGGACGTGACCCGTGCGTATGATGGGGTGTTAGCCTTAAAAAGGAAGGCAGTGTGACACATGCCACAGCCTGGATGCGCCTTGAAAACACCGCGCTAAGTGAAGTAAGCCAGACACAAAAGGGCTGGCGATCCAGGATTCCACTTTGAGAGGAACTTGGGGTGGCTCATTTCAGAGACAGAAGGTATTGTAGAACAGAGGTCACGGGGGCTGCGGGCAGGGACAGGGGAGCTGCTGTGTAATGGTACCGAGTTTCTGTCTGGGATGAGGCTAAGCTCTGGCGTGGCCTGTGGTGACAGGTGATGTGTTAACGCCACTGAGCTGGGTTCACTCAAGAATGGTGACCGAGAGACATCTTGTCATGCGTATTTACCACAAAGAGGGAAAGGGTGGGGAGCGGGGAACTGCTAATCACTTGCACTTTCCCACACCTTTTATCTTGCAGATGGGCAGAGGTGAGAGCCCAGACAGGGCCTCCAGACTGGGAACAATGTCAGACTGGGCATGGGGAGAGGGGGGGCGTGCTCTCAGAGCCGTAATTAACAGCGCTAATTGAAGCGTCTAGAAAAGGCCAGAGCCAGACAGTGCCAGACCTGCCCCACCAGTGAGGCCTTTCCCCGAAGCCTCCCTCCCCTCTAGGGACCACGGAAGGCTGCCACCTGCCCCGCAGAGAGAGATGGTGTGCTTAGGGTCTTCAGTAGGGAGGGGAGGGGATCTGGGGCAGTAAGATGGGGACAGAGGGAAAGATTTGGTCTTCCCTTAAAATCAGCTTTCCTGGATACCCTGTCTTCCAATGCCCTCCTCAGCGCTGAAGGCCGACACCTGGGTCCACAGCAGGCAGGTGTGCACCTGACTTGCAGGCCAACCTGGGTGCAGTACCCTCCTGCCCGGGCCTCCTCCCTGGGGGTCACTCCTGGTGTCCTCGCCGCCTGGAGAGGACGCAGTGACAGTGGTCCAAAGGGAAGCGCTAGGCCAGAGGTCTGTGCTCACAGAGGGGGTGACGGGGTGGGAGCTGCCTGAGGAGAAAAGGAGGAAAACAGCCCCCTGTTTCACTACCGCTGGCTTCCGTCGGCCACCAAATCCCCCTCCCCTCCAGGGACTGGCAAGCCGGTGCCAAAGTCTCCCTATGCCCAGGTTCATTGGATCATTCCATTTTCTTTCTTTTATAAAAAAAATATATTTTATTCATTTCTTACAGAGAGGAAGGGAGAGGGACAGAGAGTTAGAAACATCGATGAGAGAGAAACATCGACCAGCTGCCTCCTGCACACTCCCTACTGGGCATGTGCCCGCAACCAAGGTACATGCCCCTGACCGGAATCGAACCCGGAACCTTTCAGTCCACTGGGCGACGCTCTAGTCTAGGGGTGTCAAACTCAATCAGAGAAGGGGCCAAAATCTAAAATCCAGCCTAAATCGCGGGCCGAATGGTTTACTGAACAGTCATAAACTGTCATTGTGATGGAAACGCAGCGGAGTGCAGTGATGACAGCGCGGTGCGGGCCACATTGCAAGGCCTGGCGGGACGGATTTGGCCCGCGGGCCTTGTGTTTGACACATGTGCTCTAGTCTATCCGCTGAGCCAAAGCAGTCAGGGCGGATAGTTCCATTTTCTATGTCTAGCGCCTTTATGGGTAAGAGTGATCCCCCTCCCCGCCCAGAACCCATTGTAGGACTCCCCGTGTCGCTAAGAGCTGCCTGGGCTCCATGGCACTACTCGATGTAATGCTTCCTTATGAACACGTGAATGAAAAAATTAAAAAAGGGAATGAGTGCAGGCCACCACCAGGGACCCTTAGGGATTTCCTAAGGCAGAGGTCAGCAAACTCATTAGTCCACAGAGCCAAATAACCAGCAGTACAAGGATTAAAATTTCTTCTGAGAGCCAAATTTTTTAAACTTCTTCGAACGCCACTTCTTCAAAATAGACTTGCCCAGGCCGTGGGACAAAGAGCCGCATGTGGCTCGCGAGCCACGGTTTGCTGACCACGGTCCTATGGAAACCAAACAGCCACAGCATCTTTGTCCAGAGAGGAAGAGGGATGAGTGTCCCTTCCCCTCCCCCCCTACCTCCCCAGGCCCTCCCTCTGCCCTTCCCCCCACAGCCTGCCGCCTGACCCAGGGGATGGGGGTCAGTGATGGGGTCAGTGGAGGCGCCAGCTCGAAACCAGCTCTGTGGCTCCGGGGGAATTTAACCCTCTTCCCGCCAGCTCACGGCCATGCACCCGACAGGCCTACCTGCACGGGGGCGGGAAAGTGCAGAGCATCTAGGCGGCGGGGTGAGACTTCCTTCTGCGTGCACGGGGAAGGAAATCAGCCCTGGAGCTGGAGGCGGGCCTGAGCATACGCCCTGGCTCCGCCGCCATCGCCATCGGTCTTAATTCTCTGAACCTGGGCTCTCCCGTCAGGAAATGGGGAGCCAGACCACCACCAGCTTGCTGGGAGCCTTGGCTGAGTGGTTTTCTAAATACCAGAGCACTCGGTGCCCTCGGTGGTTGGTTTGCAAAACCCCATATGCCCGAGGAGGGGATGGATCCGGGACACCCCACCACCCCGCCTTCCCAGCTTTCCGTGTCTGCACCTGCACGTGGAACGAGGTCTTCCTTCTCCCCCGGAGAAGGCTGTCCGCGGGGGAGGCGCCTCGGCCTCTGATGCTGTGAAGTGGATACTGGTGCTGCCGAGCCCCTGCCTGCACCTCAGGATGCGGCCAAGCGGGAGAAGGATGCTGACAGCACCTGCCCCTGCCTCACCATGATCACCACAGGCGCTTTCAGCACCGACAAAACCCGTTGTATAGACGCAGTGACCGAGGCCAGGAGAGGAGGCAGAGTCCCACTCCAGGTCCGCCTGGCCCCGAGCTCGGAGCCACACACAGCACACAGACCTGGGGGAAGGGGCCGCTACCCACAGGCGCTCCAAGCCTACGGTGACCAGACGTCCCGATTTTTTTTTTTTAATATATATATTTTATTGATTTTTTTACAGAGAGGAAGAGAGAGGGATAAAGAGTTAGAACCATTGATGAGAATCATCCATCAGCTGCCTCCTGCACACCCCCCCACCGGGGATGCGCCCCCAACCAAGGCACATGCCCTTGACCGGAATCGAACCCGGGACCTTTGAGTCTGCAGACCGATGCTCTACCACTGAGCCAAACAGGTTTTGGCTAGATGTCCCAATTTTTAACAATGTGTCCCGCGTCCCTCGGCATTTTAAAAAAGATTTTAAAACGCCGCGGGACACATTGTGAAAAAGCGGGACGTCTGGCCACCTTATCGAGCCCCATGAGCCCTGGCGCTGTGCATGTGGGTGCGACCAGCGGCCTTCGCTTCCTGCCCGGCTCCCGCGGGCGGCTCCCGGGCGCCCAGAGTCCAAAGATCAGACAGGCTGCTGGCGACGATGAATTATTAGAACCCACCGGCAGCTGGGTGCTGTGACTTGTGGTCGTTCCGGGCTTCAAAGCGATTCCCGACGACATGGGAACTTCTTTGGGGTTTTTTACAAAAATCCATCCTGCCTGGTGTAGAGGGGCCCCCCTTCGTGACCGGTGTCGGTGAAGGGGCCACACTGGCATTTGGGCTCCTCCTGGCCACGCCCTGCCCGAAGCTAGTGCAATGTGTTCCCTTTTCTGGGCTTCTCCCCAGCACCAGCATGCAAGGCCCCTCCAGCTGCCCCCACCCCAATCCCACCCCACCCAGGCTCCCAGCTCCCACGGAATCCTCTTTAGTCCTCCCCAACAGGCAGGCCTGGCTGTCCACAGCACGGCGCAGCTGAGGAAGCTGAAGCACAGAGAGGCTGAGTAACTTGGCCAAGGCCACACAGCACGTCCGCGGGTGGAGGAGGAATACTGGGCGAGGCGGACAGTCTGTCCCCACCACACTCTGGAGGGTTTCGCCTCCTCCTTTCCCAGATCCAGAGGCCATA